GATCAAATATCGGGTTAAATATCGGTGGGGTGGCCGATGTCCGATACTCAGTTTTAAGGCCGATACCGATAGGGGGCCGATTATATCGTGCATTTTTTAAAGATTTTAATACACGTGTTTGAAATTGTTTTGCAGCATTTGTTCTAGATCAACTGTAGCAAAACTAAACGGAAGACATTTCTGATGTGCGACTCATAGAACACAACTTGTGTACTTGTACCTAAAATTTGAACAGGTGTAAAAAAAAAAAAAATTGTTCTTGTGAATTTATTTTTTATTCTACACATCCAAAACTCCCTCTAGAACTTCAAATTCACACTTACAATGCACAAATAGTTTTGAAACAAAATAGCCTTCATTTGATGCACCTAAATTCGCCCAATCATTTATCAAAGGTCATCTGTCAATCAGATGTTTCCGGTCATAGCATCTTGATTCATATGTCGCCGCTAATATATGCAACGGTGGTCCTAATGGAATTTCCCATTGGGAACTTACTAGAACTAAGTTGCTAACTTGTTAGCAAGATGCTTCCGACAAACCGGCTGCAATCAAAAAAATCTTCCGCTACAACAATCCCGCCCCCTTGATAATCGACCAATCACATTCACCTTACTTGTCTAAAGTCGGGCAGCACTCGGGAGAATTCGGGAGAAATAGTTGGAACGGCCGCTTCCCTACTTTAATTTGAGCAGGTAAATAAGATGATCTGCCAGTGGAATGAGATTTCTTATTTTAAATGTAAATAGTTTTACTCCATTGGTAAAGTGTCTCACTTACCTTCTCAATTCAGGAAAAAATTGACTTATTTTTGCAGTGAGTAAAGATATCAACCAAGGACTCACTAACACTCCTGGCACACCTTGACGATTTAGACCGTTTTGTATAAGTTATGCTGAAGCACGCTGGGACAGGTCGACGTATTCCAGCGTCTGCCATCCGTGGTCCATCAGTTCCACGTCAGTTACCTGATGGTTGACATCCGTTCAGTGTCAGTTCCTCATCAGTCGTGGCGTCTAGCTGATCCTAAACCTCTGAGTAACTTGTGCATAACTTCTGCGTAACTTATCCAGAACTTCTCTCCAACGCATATCAACATATCTGACGTGTTCCAGATGTGCGCTGAACTAGAGCCCTGCACTCCCACCCAACGCAAAGCAGAGTCATTTCGGGTGCGGGTGGGACGGAGGGCACACAGTGCAGGCGGGAGCGGTGATAACGGCAGTACCGCGAACTAAAAACGTGTTTTAAAATGTAAAATAATGTAAAAAATTATGAGTCTATTTCTATCATATGTGCTGGGTGTGGCTCCACAACATCTT